TTGGCTTTTGGTTTTGTTTTCGCCTTTTCGCGTTTTTCGCAGTCAACGTCACTTGGCCCGCCGTGTGTTATCATCCGCGGTTTTCGGCGCTGTAATTTGTTTTTCTCCTGTGCTTTAGTTTTTCATTTGGCTTAAGCACGATATCATGTAAATTTCAAATGGTTATAAATGCTATATATATTTTAATGCGTACACTCACTTTGCGGTCGTTTTTTGTTTTGATATGATTAAATATTATGAAAGATTGAAACGAAAGTGTTCGACAATAAACGTAGAAGCGGCGTTCAAGTTTGTTTCCTAAGTCTTTCGTATACTTTTCGTTTCTCTGATAGGATAATTTCATATGATTTCAGGCAATCGGCTGCACTCCATGTCACTCCAAAATATTATCTAATAAATCTTTTTCGCTAGAGCCAATTTCATGCTGTGCACCGCATAAATGTTTTTCCAACTTTTCCAACATTTTTCACTTTTCCATTGGCCTCTTTGTGAGCAAGAGACGTAAAGTGGTTTTGTGACAAAATATCTGAAGCCCCCAACAAGGGCACATGAAAAGTGAAAGATTGCTTTAAGATTAAATGTGGTTCAAGTTATGTATGAGGTAAAAGTTGGACGACCGAAGCTGGACGCAGCTTGGAACAATGCATACTTTAGGGGCATGGAAAAGTCTTGCAAGCAGGTTGCTCAAGGCATTTTTCCTTGAATTTTCAATATTTGAAAATAAATGGCCAAGTGGACAGGAAAATTGGAAAGTGCTTTAGGAAAATAAATAAATATGATTAATGTAAATAAATGTGCATAATATAAATAGAAATATTAAAAGAGAGATATATGTATGAAAGAAATACTAATATTATATATAAATGATAAACAAATTTTACGGTAGTATATGTATAAAACATAAATCTATGCAAAGATATACATAGATCTATCAAGCAGACAGGGCTTATTTTATGCCTTAAAATAGAGGTATTAGAGGTTTTATCTATATGAAGCTATTTCGTTTTTAGGTACAACAGCTACAACATCTTTGTCGATGGAAATACCTTTTGAAATATGAAAATATAGTAATAATTTATTTCTTTTTGTTCATGTCTGATCTGATTACACATCAAATACTTTCGGAAAAGTAAAAGTTCTTAAATCTAAAAATTATAAATTTTTAAGTACAGAAAGTACCAAATATCTTCATATACTTATCATATTTAATGTTAAATATTTCTTACTAATTGATTCTCGTTTCAGCTCACCTGGTATACAGCCGATATCCAATGTAGGCCATTGGGCACGTGCTCCACGACAATAAATGGCAATTAAATGGATTTATGTCGAAATTTCCATTGCGCAACAGAAATTGCAATGCCTCCAAGTTGAATTTGGCTATTGGACAAAAAAAGAAAACACGATTCACATATGATCTTATCACACGCACATACACAGAGCGAGACAGAAACAGAGAGAGAGGGAGAGAGAGAGAAAAATGGAGGCAGAGAAGATATTTTGCCTTATCTACAACCTTTTGCCGGTTGAATGGGGGAAAGTAAGCACCAGAGCGGTAATAGCACTATGAAAACGCTGGACATATTGGCGAGAGTGCTAGGAATTCGCATATTTATCACGTACGTCCACTAAGCACTAGGCACTAAGCGCGATCGGAGGAGCCACAGAGCAGCACCGAGCCACATGGAACGCGTCTGGTTGAATTGAATTGAATGAGCTCGTTGTCACTGTGCTGCAGCCAGATAAATGCTAAAAAACATACCAACGTACCAACAAAGCCAACAACAAATACAACAAAAACAACAACGTTTATACTAAGACCCCCAGCCCGGCCCCGGTTGACATTGCGGCAAGTGTTTTAGCTAAACTTGGGTCTTAGTCTTTGGCTTTGCTTCAGTTTGCCGCACGTTGATTGCGTGTCGGTGAAACCCCATTTCCATATGGCTGCCCAGGCTGCGATGTATTGTGAAATACCCAAAGATAGCCAAAAATGTTTTCGAATCGCTATAGACATCTGTCATATTGCAAAATATCTAAACAGGATTGCATGTACCACCTGTTGGCTAGACAAAGAGTGGTATTCACAATTAGACGTCTTCAAGATCTAAAAGTCAAGTTAAGAAATATCTAATAAATGTTAATAAATCTCGACAGTTGCTGAATTGCCAATTAAAAATGCTCACATCGCGTTTTATACAAGACGTTAGAATGCTCAAAGTTATTATACAGTCAATGTTATTGTATTGTTCAATTTTACAATTGTTTTATATTTTTGAATACATAAAAATAAATATAAAGATTGTTAGCTTTATGAAAACGAATATAAGTGAAAATATGGAAATATGAAAATTGAAACAATTGAACAAAAGGACAAATTTAAATTTTCAAACTATTGCGCGCACATTGTTTGTACTCATTGTGAGCTGTCAACCCGCTGTTAATACGATTTTCAGTATATAAGTGTAACGCTACTCGTACTTTTTAGTTTCCCGAAAGTATTCCTGACAATTTAACCCTAAAATAAAAAATAAAACATAAGGAAGAGTTTTAAAAAATTGTGGAAATATTAATATTACTTTAATAGTCCGTTTAACAGTCTTATGTTAACGCATATTTTGCGGTATGTTAACGCGTGGTTCAACTCAAATAGAAATGTTAGCGCATTGCGAATGTTAACGCTAACAGGCCATATTTGCTTGCTTTCCAACACATAAACTATACACATGCACATACACAAACACAGGCGTACAGTCGCAACATCTTAAAAAAATTGAAACTTATATTTTGCAGCGTAAAAACTAAGTTGCCTAGTTTGCAAACAACTAATTGAGAGTTAGTTTGTAATGAAGCGCACCGCTGCACCCAAATCAATGTCGTAGGAGCGCAATTAGCAAGTGTAACAAGACAAATCTCAACATGATTGCATCCGAATCAGAGGCCATAAATTCGGCCACTTATGTGGATAATTATCTCGATTCCGTGGAGAATCTGCCCGACGATGTTCAGCGCCAGCTCTCTCGCATACGGGACATCGATGTCCAATACCGAGGTAAGCCGAAAAATACCCAAGCAAAAATTTAACTTAACCTCTGATTTCTGCCTCTTTCCAGGATTAATACGGGACGTGGATCACTACTATGACCTCTACGTGCTGCACCAGAACTCACCCGACACGAATCGCCGCTGCCGCTCCATAGCGCGCATGCACCAGAGCCTAATACAGGCCCAGGAGCTGGGCGATGAGAAAATGCAGATTGTGAATCTGCTACAGGAGATAATAGACGGTAAGGTTAGGCAATTGGACACAGATCAGCAGAATCTCGACCTGAAGGAGGAGCGGGAGCGTTACGCGCAGCTGGACGATGGCCCGCCATCGAAGCTGCAGCGGCTCCAGAGTCCCATGTGTGATCAGGGCAACAGTGCGGGCAACAATGTGTTAAATAGCAGCGGATTGGGCGGCAACGCGGCCAACGTTTCCAAGGATCACTATGGTGCACTGCCTTTTATCGGCGTGTCAGGCTCCAGTGGCAGCGGCATTAGTGGCAATGGCGGCAGCTCGACGCCCACCTATGATCGTTCCAACCATCTGAGCAGCGGTGGCAACGGCTACAATGGCTCCTATTGTGGCAGCAACAGTGACCTACAGCGTTCGGGCAGCAAACGCTCGAGGCGACGCAACGAGAGCCTGCCCAACAACGGCAGCTCCACTGAGATGGGCGGCAATGAATCCAATTCGGCCAACGAGGCGGGCAGCAGTGGGAACGGGAACAGCGAACGCAAGTCTTCGATGGCCAGCGGCAGTGGCCTGGGGCAGCGCAAGAGTCAAGTACAATTGGCGGGCGGCGGCGTGTCCGGTGGAGGAGGTGGTGCCGGTGGCAATGGCGGCGGCAGCAATTCCGGCAAGAAAAAGAAACGAAAAGTGCGCGGCGCGGGCGCTACTAATACGGCGGCAAATACTCGCGAGGAAACGCCACCACCTGAGCCCATCGATCCGGATGAGCCCACGTATTGTGTATGCAACCAGGTGAGATTGGAGCGAAAGAAAAAATATATAAAAATACATATTAATGAATGTCTCCTTCCTCTCAGATTTCGTTTGGCGAAATGATACTCTGTGACAACGATTTGTGCCCCATCGAGTGGTTCCACTTTTCGTGCGTCTCACTTGTGCTTAAGCCGAAGGGCAAATGGTTCTGTCCGAACTGCCGCGGCGAACGACCCAACGTCATGAAGCCGAAGGCGCAATTTCTGAAGGAGCTGGAGCGCTACAACAAGGAAAAAGAGGAGAAAACTTAAACAATGTTTTGTGGAAACAGTTTTTTGTGTTAAACACTCTTAGCCATTACGATTAGACCAGGGCTCAGCACTATGTAAATTATTCGCTTCCTACAACTGTAGTTAATATGTAAACACACACACACCCACAAACAAACAGAAACAGACACAATTACAATCTCACCCACACACACAAACCCCATTCGCAAATTAAACTTTGTATTGTATTATTACTTTCGCCCCAATATAGACCACATTTTGCTTTCGGTGGTTTAAAAGGTTCTTCAATACCTGTATAAATTTTCAAGCTAAATATATAAATAAATATATTATGTATAAAATAAAATTTAACAAATACTAAAATAAACATTCGATATTTTATACGGTTCAAAAGCCAAAGCTCAGCTGGCCTTTTGGATCCGATTTGTAGAATTTTAGATTCCATAATTTATATAGAATTTTAAGATTTGTATAGTTGATAAACAGAAAGAAAACAAACAGATTTACTTTTGTATAAATGTAAATGTATAATAATATTCTCTGTGTGTTGTGTATAGACATACATATGTGTAAATTGAATATGTATTTATGTATATGTATATAAGACACTTTCGGTAAATGGAATACAACGTCATTGATATGTAGACTATGGACGGAATGTTTGTGTAGTCATTGGTACTTATAATAAATAAAACTTAAAATGAAGATTCATTTAACTTTTTGCGTATTCGATTGGCATTTCGAATGGAAACTCGCTCTTAAGGCATCAAGAGTTCGATATTAGGGTTCTGTATTTCCAGAAAGATTTGGTATTGCGAGAAAACAACGAGCCAGCAGTATATCTAAATGAGAGGGAAGTTTAAATTTGCGTTCAAATACTGCGTTGGAATTGTTTATTTAACTTACATTATAGGCAACCCAAACGAAGTTTATCAGCGCTGAGAATGTTTGCTCCAACTATTCAAAAAATTGGTATTTAGTTGCAATGCAATTAATATTTATAGTATATGCTCACGTATATGTAGTAGCCGCCAATTAACCAAAGGCTCCAGCAGAATTGAAACAGAATCGCAAGTCCAATCAAAAATAGCCAGGGCAAGAGCCAGCCACGCGTGCTATAAAATAKATTAATTAATTAAGTCCACAACATTTTCCCCACACACTCACCTTATCTTAATGCCATAATATACAAGGAAGGATGATATTATAATCAGCAGAAAGTATATTATAAAGAAGCCTCCAGCGATGGGCATAGACGACCTGATGTCCGTTTCAAATAGGGGCGAATAAAGCTGTCCAGATTCTCCGCCAGCGAGCATGTAGCTGATGAGCGTGATTAAAACAACGCTTAGAGCTGCCGTGTAGGCGGCAACTGCATAGCTGCCTGTGCGCACGTTATTTGACCAAATGATTGGTGACCAGCAGGAGCTTAGGACAACCATTTTTCATAAATAAAATAGCTATTTACAAAATGTAAAATAACTTTATAAAATGACAACAACGCCTTGTCAACGCCCTGGCAATGTGACCGTAATCAACTAAAATTAAAGATGCTAATAAGCTATCGATTGATTAAACTTTCGAAAGATCACGTATTTAAGTAAATTAATATAACATATGATTTTATCTATATGAACTTAAATACAAATTTAAAATTTAATTTAATAGTTTGCTTTCCTAAAATGTTTCAAAAGTTATTTGGTTAATTGGCCCATGCTATTATGTAAAACTATCGATAAGTTGTAGAAGACGATTCCGACCTTCGACAGCGGTAACATTCGAATGTCAAATAAACATTATTGATATACTTAGTTTTTTCTCGACACACTCTCTATTTATAATTTATAGTTACTTATTGCAGTAAGAAATTTTATACTTTAAATATATATATTTTTAATATTACGTCATATGGTCTGCTAACATAAATCAAATATACAATAAGTAAATTTTATTTGATGCTGCTAACATACAAATCTACACGGAATCCACAAAAGCGCCATGCGTTGTGGCTGTAAGATTACATTTCACTTGCTCTATAGCTTTGCAAACAGCCGACAGATGGCGCGAACTAACTGTAAAACTGTAAGTTAACATAAAATATTTTTAACAGTGAAAGCAGAATTCATCTGTTAGATTGATTTTTATTTTTTGTTTAATTTTGTTTTATAAAAATTAAGCATGGATTAATATAAAGACAAATACATTTTTAATTGCGATTAAATGATTACGGCTGGACCAGCCCAGTCTGTCTTTTTTTGTTTATATTTTTAATTTATTTTTTTTACAAATATTTGTATAAATGGACTAGTTTTTTCAGCTAAATGCATTAGTATTATTGAATTTCATTATAAATTGTAAATTGAAAAAAAAAAAAAAAAAAAAGTACATATTTACTATGTATTTTAAACATTTATTGCTTGAAGTGTGTCAAGAATTAATGATTATTTCGTAAATTGATTTTCAACTAAAATGGCGATTTAATTTCATTGAAGGCTTCGGCAATAGGCTTTCCACTTAAGCGCCTTGAGAAGCCAATTCAATTTAATTTTAGTTTGAACAATGGAGCTCTTGTAAAATACAAAGTGATATACGAAGTGATTGAATTGGTCCAATTGATTGGTCCACGAATCACTTTCATTACTTATGCAGTTTCCAATCAATTTTCAATCTGATGCCAAGCAAAGACATTCAAAATCGACTTCCACTGCCACTTGCAGGCAGAATGGCCGATAAGCTTAGCTATTTAGTAAGGGCCTAAGTGGGAGCGACGCGTCGTTCAACTTGCGGGACTAGCTTGAGTCTAATCAGAACGGGCCATAAATTTTAGGAGCGTTGAAAATTGCGATCCGCATTGCTTTTGCTTTTGCTTGCGCTCAGTCGGCGTTGCCAACTTTACTAATTAATTGTGCACTTGAGAATTTTTGAGCGGCAGCGCACAAAGCAAACTGTAAAACTTGCCGCGCTAGGCGAAAAACTTGCCAAAGGAATAGGCAAGAGGCAGCAGAGTAAAAGTAAAGCGAGTGATAGAGACAGAGACATAGCGAGAGGAAAAAAGTAAGCTAAGTGTGTGAAAGGAGAGTGTGTGTGCATGTTAGGTATGGGCACTGGCAAAGTTGATGAGTAAATAAACTAACAATTTTTCCTACTTAATTAACAAAATTGTTTTAATGCGCTGCCGACGTCTGCGTCGCTGCTGCTGCTGCTGCCGCTGCCGTTGTCGCAGCGCACAAACATGCCAACTGAAGCGTTTAGAGTTGGCGACGGTAAAGTCGCTGCGTTGTCAACATTGACAGACTGACTAGCTGACTGCACGACTAAATGACTCAATGACTAAGCAAACAAATTGTAAAGTGAGGCGCAGCATCAAAATGGCGGCAGTGCTCAGCTCAATAATTAAACTTGTCGCCAGTAGATGGCGTTAACTCATGCATGTGAGGTCGGCAGGAGCATTAGAGGGAGAAGGAGAGAGGGACTGGAGGAAGACTTTGCTTGTAGCTGAAAGTTTTATGACACCCGAAGGAGTTGAATCATGATTATGGCATGTTGAAAGATGTTCGGCTATTTTCCTGTGACATCATTTTCTTTTGGCATAGTTCGAGAATGTCTTAGAACTATAAGGTATTTAAATTTATTGATAAATACTTGTGAGAAACTTTTAAAAGCTGCCGACAAAGGTATTATGGAAAAATTGAAGAGAGATATTATTGAAAGGCATAGTTCGAGAATGTCTTAGAACTATAAGGTATTTAAAGTTATTGATAAATACTTGTGAGAAACTTTTAAAAGCTGCTGAGAAGGGTGTTATGGAAAAATTGAAGAGTTCTTGTTTATGTGAAGAGAGATACCATTGAAAGGAGCTTCAGAAGTAAGGTTCGGGAGAAATAATTGAAAAAGAAAGTTGCTTGACAATAGTAAAATTTAATAAAACATAAAAAAACAAGAGAAAAAATACTTTACTTAAATGTATTTCTAATATAATACATCTCAAGTTAAGTTAACAGCTGTACTATTTCAGCTGCATTGAAAGCCATATCAAATATATTTTATTCATTATAAACGACTCTCAGAAAATTTCATTGCATTTGATTTCTGTGGAGAGAAATGGCTGCTGATTAACATATAAAATCGTTTTCAGCAACCAGAAAGCAGCATTCAGCTGGAATGGCAAAGGGACGGCGTAATATATTTGCCAGCATTGACAACTCTGCGCCACAATAAATTGCAACTCTGTAAACGTTGCATTCTGCAATGCTGCGGCTTATGAATTGCATTACAAATTCGCATAAATTCTGCGCCAAAGTATGCGCAACAAATCGTTTGTGTGGCACGCGGCATTTATCATCTCAAAAATGGCAGAAGAAGAAGAAGACGCATCCATTGCAGAATTCAATCTGGAGCCAGCCGCGAGAATTATGAGAGGTTCATTCGAATTCACATTCGCGAAGAGGGCGAGAGAGAGAGAGAGAGAGAGAGAGAGAGATAGAGACAGAGATAGAGAGAGGGGTTAGAGGATTTGCTGCTGCAGCTTTGACGCGCTTTGTGAATTGACTTTTAAATGGACCCGAGCTGCATTGTGCCGTTCATTGGCTAGGCGAATATTGGATTTATTATGGCCACTTGAAATGTTTTATGGAAATAGCTTACTTTGGGGACTACAGAAGACTCTGTGGAATACTGCTGACAATTATTGCAATACAATAGTTAGGCTAAATGTAAATTATTTCATTTAAATTTAAAATGTTTATCAAATGAATTGGATATATTTATAAAAATATTGTGCATGGTATTTTATTAAAAAAAATATATTTGAAACCATTATAATAATAATACAAACAAATATTTACTTAAGCTTGGTATATAAATAAACAAAAATTATTAAACTAAAAGACTAACAAACTAAAATTAAAAAAAAATTTTTTTTCACAAATATTATATCTGTAAAAATTCTAAAAATCATGTAATGAATACAAAAATAAATAAATAAAATAAAAATATAAATCAACAATAATGATGATTAAAATAAAGTTAAAAAATAAAAATAAGCAAAAATGTTAATTACTTAAATTGCATATGAAAAATATATTTTAATAATGTCACAGTAAATATGTAAAATTTTATTTATAAAATTTTAATTATAAAAAATATCTATGATTTACTATATTACAACAATAATAAAAAATTCATATATATGCAGAATTTATTTTTTTATTTCAAAAATTAATGATTAAAAGGAAATTCGAATAGTTTATTTATCAAAATTATATCCCCGAAACAACATATCTAAATCGGCTTTCATCAGTTTTTGAGTGCTCATATATTTAGTTGAGTTTCTCAGTTGATTATCGCTTGATTTATACAAGTTAATTAACACGTTCGTTGGCCAAAGGGCCAATGGTGTATGGAGCATCCGGGGCATTGGGGAAGAGAGACATATTGTCGGATGGCTCTACCTATGTCAACAGGCAGACAAAAAGCACAATTAAACCCTTTGAAAGGGCGCAGACAAGGCAGCAAATACAAACAATGCCAAATGCCAAAGGGTTGGCGTTGAAAGGCCTGCGAAGGTCAAGCCCAGCCCCGGTGTGTTGGGCTGTGTTGTGGGGGTCAGACTGAGGCCTTGGGGCCAAGCGTAGATTTATTGGATATTGTCGCATAAAGTCACATGGATTTCGCACAACATTTTATCGCCAGACGCTGAAGATAAACGCCATGAACAATTGCCTGGCAGCCGGCTAGAAATTGCTGGCAATAAAGTTGCAGTCGTTGGGGAGAGGTGGGAGCAGCGCTTGGCAAACATATTTAGACTTTTCTTAAGTAAATTATTGCAAAAATCGACAGAGCCAACGACGGAAGCTCAAATGGGCGCAAAAATGTCATTAAAAGGCAGCCAGAGACAGAGACAGAGCGAGAGGGAGAGCTTGAGCCTGAGTCAGAGCGAGAGAGCAGCAAGGAGCAGGAACGAGCGCGTCCTCAGCTTGGAGAGCGGGCAAGTTGTTGTTTCCGTTTCCGTCATGTTGAGGTCCTTTTGAAATGTTGACGACAGCAACGACAGCAACACCAACAACACCAGCAGCAACAGCAGCAACAACAACAACAACAACAACCACAACATTTTCCTGCCAATGCAAACTCATCCTGCGTCAGTCGCCTTCGTCTCATTTGTGATTTGTGGAGCTGCAGCTGCAAATATTTGCTTAGTCCTTTCTGCAGCCAGGACGAACTCTCAGGTTACTATTTGTATGTTTATTTTCATTGGACTTTTATATATTTGTGTATGCTGCTTTAGCCATTTAAGCTCAGCGATAATCGGTGGTGACTTTAGCCCTTAATGTGCTTAAAATATTGAAGCTCAAATAGAGTACCTAATCGATTTAATGGAGAGGAAATTAAAAACTTAAGAGACAGAAATTGATCAGCGCTTCATAAGGGATGACAAATTCTGATAAGACTCATGAGAAGCTTCAAGCCTTCTGTTATGGGCTAAATATGGTATTCGAGATGGAAGGAAAAAAGAATTTGTGCGAATAATCAGT